AGATGGCTGCATTGAGCAGGGCCAGGAAAGAATGCCAGGAACCAAGATTTCATCTGGATCTCCCACATTGGTAGCATTTGCCCAAGTATTTGGATCATCTTCTATTGCTTTTCTTAGGCCATCAGCAGGAAGCTGGATCAAAAGCAGAACAGCCAGAACATGAACCAGTGCTCATATGGGATGCTTGTATTGCAGACGGCAGGATTACTTGCTATGTGACAATGCTGGCCCTGTTTTATGGGAACTTCCAAATGAAATTTTGAAGTTGTATGCATTGTAGTTTGCATGTAATTCAACTTTCTGCCATACTTACTGATACATATCAGCATTTGATGTAGGACAAACCAGAAAACACAATGGCTTAACAAATAGCCATTTGATTTGCAGTTCTGACTCTGTTATGGGCTGTACTCAGCTGGGCAGTTTCTATGATCAGTCCAGGAGCAGAAATGAGAGTTTAGCCATTTGGGGAACTGATTGAGGCTTCACTTAAGTGTCTGGGGTTTGTGGTGAATCTTGGCTACATATTATCTCTTTTTTTTCTTTTTTTACAGGTAGAGTTAGTGAGAGAGAGAGACAGAGAGAAATGTCTTCCTTCCACTGGTTCACCCCCAAAATGGCTGCTATGGCCAGCCTGCTGTGCTGATCCAAAGCTAGGAGACAGGCACTTCCTCCTGGTCTCCCATGTGGGTGCAGGGCCCAAGAACTTGGGCCATCCTCCACTGCCTCCCCAGGCCACAGCCAAGAGCTGGACTGGAATAGGAGCAACTGGGTCAGAACTGGCACCCCATCTGGGACTGTCACCTGGAGTACCAGTGCTGCGGGCAGAGGATTAGCCTAGTTAGCCATGGCACCACCCTACTACTATCTCTTCAACAGGCAGGCCCCAGGGTTTTTCAGAAGATAACTGTCAGAAAAAGAAAATCTGAGAAGGCAAATACTTTACCAATTGTCTATTTCTGGGGCTGGTTCTGTGACATAGCAGGTAAAGATACTGCCTGCAGTGCCAGCATCTCATATGGGTGTCAGTTTGTGACTCGGCTGCTCCACTTCTGATCCAGTTCTTTGCTACAGCCTGGGAAAACAGTAGAAGATGGCCCAAGTCCTTTGGTCCCTGCTCCCTTGTGAGAGACCTGAAAGAAGTTCCTGGTTCATATCTTTGGATCTACACAGCTCCTGCCATTGCAGCCATCTGGGGAGTGAACCTGCAGTTCAAAGACCTCTGTTTCTCCCTCCTTCTCTCTCTCTCTCTCTCTCTTCTCTGCCTCTCCTTCTCTCTTTGTGTAACTCTTTCATATAAATAAATATTTTAACAAATTGTCTATTTCTATCACATTTACTGGTATCTCATGGGGTAAATCAATTGAAATGGTGAAATTCAGGGTCTTTTTAAAAAAGATTTATTTATTTATTTGAAAGAGTTACACACAGAGAGGGAGAGGCAGAGAAAGAGAAAGAGCTCTTCCATCTGCTGGTTCACTCCCCGGTTGGCTGCAATGGCCAGAGTTTGCCAATCCAAAGCCAGGATCCAGGAGCTTCTTTTGGGTCTTACACATGGGTACAGGGGCCCAAGGACTTGGGCCATCTTCTACTGCTTTCCCAGGCCATAGCAGAAAGCTGGTCCACAAGTGGGGCAGCTGGGAATCAAACCAGTGCCTATATAGGATGCCAGTCTGCAGGTGGCAGTTTTACCCTCTAGGCCACAGTGCCACCCCCAATCCAGGGTTTTGTGAAGGGATGAATACAGGGAAAGGTGCTACTTGGAATCATTACTGGTAAAGTGCACTGCATTAAATATACATTATGTGTATTTGTTAACTTTCTTTAGTATAAACTTTAACAACATAATGTTTATCTCTGATAACCTTATTCATTTGAACACTCAACTTTTCTTTTTACTTTCACATTATTATTTTACAAAATTTGTAGATAATGCTTTCGTTAAACCAATGATAACTTCTGTTTAATCTCTGCCACTTAATATAGGTGGGTGCATTTTCCTATGTATTTTTATTTTTACAGGTTTATTCCTCCACAGTGAAGCTGATGTTTTCTTGGTTAATGTATCTATTATTATTTATTCATTATATTATATCCTTTTTTCCCACTGTTCAGTGCAGAAGGAAACCAGAGTTTTGTTTTTTTTTTTTTTAAGATTTCATTTATTTATTGAAAGAGTTGCAGAGAGAGAAAGTCTTCTATCTGCTGGCTCACCCTCCAAATTACTGCAAAGGCCAGAGCTCAGCCAATCCAAAGCCAAGACCCAAGAGCTTCTGGGTCTCCCATGCAGGTGCAGTGGCCCAAGGACTTGGACCATGTTCCACTGCTTTCTCAGGACATAGCAGAAAGCTAGATTGTATGTTGAGCAGGCAGGACTCGAACCAGAACCCATATGGAATGCTGGCACTGAAGGCAGCAGCTTTACCCATTATGCCACAGTGTTGGCCTCCTGAGTTTTCTTTGAACTCCTGCCATTCACCTTCTCTCCGAGGTATGATTCTGGGTCCTCCACATGTTTCTAAGAGGAAAGAAAATTAATATATCACCTGTAAGTGTTTTTTTTTTTAAATTATTCCCCAGCTTGTCAGTACTCATTTTAGGTGTTTAATGCTAGTTTATTTATTTATTTTTTTAGATTTTTTATTGATTTGAATGTCAGAGTTACAGAGAGGCAGAGGGGGAGAGGGAGGGAGGGTCTTCCATCTGCTGGTTCACTCCCCAGTTTTCCACAATGGCCGGAGTTGCACTGGTCCAAAGCTAGAAGTGAAGAGCTTCTTCTGGGTCTCCCACATGGGTTCAGGGGCCCAAGGATTTAGGCCATCTTCTACTGAATTCCCAGGCCATAGCAGAGAGCTGGATTGGAAGTGAAGCCACTGGGACTTGAACTGGCACCAATATGGGATGCCAGCACTGAAGGCAGTGGCTTTACCTGCTAGCCACAGTGCCAGTCCCAGTATACTAGTTAATTAAAATGGAAAATATGGGGCCAGCTCTGTGGCTCAGTGGGTTAATGCCCTGGTCTAAAGCATCGACATGCCATATAGGCACTGGTTTGAGACCCGGCTGCTCCACTTCTGCTCCAGCTCTCTACTATGGCCTGGGAAAGCAGTGGAAGATGGCCCAGGTCCTTGGGCCCCTGAACCCACGTGGGAGACCCAGAAGAAGCTCCTGGTTCCTGGCTTCAGATTGGTGCAGTTCCAGACATTGCAGCCAATGGGGACTGAACCAGCAGATGGAAGACCTCTCTCTCTGCCTCTCCTCTTTCTGTGTAACTGACTTTCAAATAAATAAATAAATCTTTATAAAATTTTAAAATAGAAAAATAAACATAAAATTTGTTCTCACAGAATATACAGAAATGAATTATGAATTTGGCATGATTATGAAATATTACTGTCATCTATAATAATGCAATTTGGTATCTTGTCTTTCTGTTGCTATAGCAAAATATATATCTGTTACATGAATTGAGTTGAAACTAAGCACAATATGCTACATTTTTGGAGTCATGTCTGAAACAGTGTACACACAGATGATGTACTGAACAGTGTTTTAGTGCTACCTATGAAGTCAACACTTAGCATTTTGCAAGAGGAAGAGTTACCTAGTGCTGGAACACAAATCAGTTAAATTTGTTTTCAAATTGTTAGAGTAATGGAGTTCTTAATACCTTTGAGAAGTTGAATTGGATTCTGGAATAGGATAAGGAATGTGTGGAGAAAAGAATCTACTGGAGGCTCATTTATTTTTTTTAAGATTATTTATTTGAAAGGTGGACTTGCAGAGATTGAGAGAGACAGGGAGACAAAAGGATATATCTTCTATCTACTGTTCATTCCCCAAGTGCCCACAATGGCTGGGACTGGGCCAGGCCAAAGCCAGGAGCCTGGGACTCCATGGGTCTCCCACATTGGTGGAAGGGTCCAAATACTCAGGCCATTTTCACTGCTCTTTCAATCAGATTAGCAGGGAACTAGATTGGAAGTGGAGCAGCAAGGAGTCAAGTCCTCTGTTTACATGGGATGCCAGCATTGATGGTGGAGGCTTAGCCTGCTGGATCACAATTCTGGTGACTATTGCAGGTTCTGAAACAAATCTCTAAGCATTTTTCTCAGTGAGTCACAAATGCAGATTGTACGGCAGACATTCCCAGGTTCTCTTTTTGGGAAAATAATTCCATTGCTTTCACTTTAATTATGTATAATGTTATTTCAAATGTTTATCAGTGGAATAATCATAGAAAAGGGCAAATCTAATTTGTATTCTTTGTCTTACCAGTATTTTTTCTCTTACTTAAAAATATTTATTAGCTTCATAGAGAAAATAGTTGATGGATTGAGAGATAGAGAGCTTTGACACATTAATTCACTTCCTAGATAACCATACCAAACAGAGGTGGGGCAGGACTGAAGCCAGGATTGAGGAATGGAATCTAGCCCTCCTTCATTGGTGACATCACCATTGCTTCGCCAGGCTTGCATTATCTGGGAGCTAGAAACTAGAGCTGGCATTGGAAATCATAGACACTCTGAAGTGGCATCATAAACAACACTAAGCTGAATGTCTGCCCTGTCTTTTAATACATTTTTTCTCTGACATATTGGAAATGATATGCATGGTGTTTTCCTGGAAATTGTTTTCTGTTCATTCCTATCATAGTTTCACTGATGGTTTCTTGCCTTTTTTCTCAATGCTTCTACATACTTCTCCTTAACACTGCCCATTCAAGAGTCAGTATTGCCCCTCTTCTAGCCTGCTGTGCAATTCCCCTTGAATGATGTGGCCTTTGTGATTTGAACCTCCTGTTTCCCTCCAGCTTGGGCATTTCTCACTGCCTGTAGATCATGGGTTTGACTCTGTTGAATGCTCTGCATGGCTTTCTAAACACTCAACAAATCTAATGTGAAACCATATCCTTTCCTTTTTCCTTCATATCCATACATGACTGTCAGTGTTTGTTTTGTGACAGAGTTAATATGTTAATATGTGTAATGTTACAGGTGATGATAGCATTTGAAGACCTGGCTGTGTACTTTAGCTGGGAGGAATGGCAGAACATGAACAATGCTCAGAAAACCCTGTACAGAGATGTGATGCTGGAGACCTACAGCAGCCTCTTCTCCTTGGGTGAGTAACACTCATCACATGCCCAGTGATAACATTTTCTTGCTATTTGACAAGCAAGGGAACACTTTATAATGTTTAATATTGGGCAGGATTAGAATTTGAGTCTACGAATAATCTGAATATCTACCATCTAACAAAAGATTCAAATTGAAACATTTGTTGCATAGCTCCTGAACCAAGCTGTAGTCCTTTAAATAACCCAAGATAGTGATTTTACAAAGTCTTACTTTTTTTCCATTAATAGGGCACTGCATTACCAAACCTGACTTAATCTTCAAGTTGGAGCGGGGAGAAGAGCCATGGATGGTGGATGAATGCTTGAATCAGAGTCTTTCAGGTCAGTCTGCACATAACAGACAGGGAGGCCAAGGCAGAAAGTGTGCAGATGTTGACTGGTGTTCTTTCCATGAATTTTTCTCAAGCCTTACTCCTGATGACAGCTGGTTTTGTGCATCAGACACAGGCATTTAGAGATACCAGTATCTTTCTAACTTTTGTTCTTAGTGAAGATGTTCTTTGATTAAACAAAATCCAGTCATTTTCTGCTGTTACTAAGGCTTTCATCTAGGTTTGATACATTCCCCAAATTCTAACTTCTCCTTCTCTGCACTTCCATACCTTTTCCTTTATGCACTTATTAGTTCCTTCAGTGTTTGTTAATTAGGCAACATACAAAAACTTATTGTTTTTAAGATTAATTTTTCTGTTTTTTTTTTTTTTCTTTTGAAACAGGCAGAGTGGACAGTGAGAGAGAGAGAGACATAGAGAAAGGTCTTCCTTTTGCTGTTGGTTCACCCTCCAATGGCTACCATGGCTGGTGTGCTGTGGCTGGCACACTGTGCTGATCCGAAGCCAGGAATCAGGTGCTTCTCCTGGTCTCCCAGGTGGGCACAGGGCCCAAGGACCTGGGCCATCCTACACTGCACTCCTGGCCCAGAGCAGAGAGCTGGCCTGGAAGAGGGGCAACCGGGACAAAATCCAGAAACCCGACTGGGACTAGAACCTGGTGTGCCAGTGCCACAGGCAGAGGATTAGCCTATTGAGCCACCGCACCAGCCTGTTTCTTTTCTTTTTTTTTTTTTTAAGATTTATTTATTTATTTATTTGAAAGTCAGAGAGAAGAAGGAGAGGCAGAGAGAGAAAGAGAGGTCTTCCATCCACTGGTTCACTTCCCAATTGGCTGTCATGGCTGGAGCTATACTGATCTGAAGCTAGGAGCCAGGAGCTTCTTCCAGGTCTCCCACATGGGTACAGGGATCCAAGGACTTGGGCCATCTTCTACTGCTTCCCAGGCCATAGCAGAGTGCTGGATCAGAAGTGGATCAGCTAGGACTTAAATTGGTGCCCATAAGTGGTGTTGGCACTGCAGATGGTGGCTTTACCTGCTATGCCACAACGCCAGCCCCCGGAAACTTATTTCTAACTCATTGCTCAGATTGAGTTCCCACTCATGATTTTTCCCAGGCATAGAACTTGCTCAGGACTGAATCAATAAATGTGAACTCTCTCTTTCTTAGTCTCTTTCTTTTTTTTCCTCTATGCCTCTCAAATAAATAAGAAAATTATAGTCTGTTGGAAACATTTGAGGAGTGAGCCTACAGTTGGCAAACCTCTGTTTCAGTCTGTCTTTATCTCTCATTCTGTCTCTCTGACTCTCAAGTAAGTAAATAAGTAAATGCTAAAAGATGGTCATGTGGCTTGCTGTGGCGCAGTGAATTAACACCCTAGCCTGAAGCAGCCGCATCCCATATGGGCACCAGTTCAGGACCCAGTTGCTCCACTTCCGATCCAGCTCTCAGCTATGGCCTGGGAAAGCAGTAGATGTTCCAAGTCCTTGGATCCCTGCACCCAAGGGAGACCCAGAAGAAGCTCCTGGCTCCTGGCTTCAGATCAGCACAGTTCTGGCCATTGTGGCCAATTGGGGAGTGAACCATTGGATCAAGACCTGACTCTCTCTTTGCCTCTCCTCTCTCTGTGTAACTCTGACTTTCAAATAAATAAATAAATCTTTAAAAATAAAAGATGGTCATGAGTAAGCCTCTGTGCTGTGACTTCAGAAATTATGAAGCTAGGAATGACACTGTGGTGCAGTGTGTTAAAGCTCCAGCCTGCAACACTAGCATTGCATATTGGTGCCAGTTCAAGTCCCAGCTAGCCCTCTTCTAATCCAGCTCTCTGCTAATGCACCTGAGAAAAGAGCAGAGGTTGGCCCAAGTCTTTGGTCCCCTGTACCCATGTGGGAGGCAAGAAAGACACTCCTGGCTCCTAAATTCATTTTGGCCCAGCATTGGTTGTTGTGCCCATATGGGGAGTGAACCAGCAGATGGAAGACCTCTCTCTGTCTCTATCTCTCTCTATAATTCTAGCTTTCAAATAAGTAAAGTAAATCTTTGAAAAAAAGAAATCATAAACTAAGCATGAACTTATATAAAACATGAAAATAAGTGATCCTAGACTCACCAAGAAACTAATGAGATTTTGAGACCCAAGGTCAAGTAGCCTCATGGGTTTATGTTGAGTAGCTCAGATTTCTTTAAGGGTGGAGTTTGAAGAAGGATTTCTCTCTTATTTTTCAATGTCATTGAAAAATAAGCAAATAAAAAGATAAGAAAAGCATAGAAAATGAAGCTTTCAGTGAAAATAGGAGGCAACTGATCAAAAGCCTGCAGAAATTCAAATCATCACACTGGAATGTTTCTAGAAAGAATTGAGAGGAGGTAACCAGCACTGATGATTTCAGAATGAGCTAGAAAACACTTCAAAGAAGATGAGCACATCCCGGTTTGCAGAAACAAATTCTTCCAACTGATTGGGAGTGTTTAACTAAAGTGGTATATTGGGAATTTTCTGTACCTGTTGTACTTTTGAGAAGCTGAAGGTGTTGGGTGTCCTTAGGAATTTGGGGAAGCTGTCATAGAGTAGAGACAAAGTAGTTTTTCATTTGAAAAATCCCACAAATGATGTTTACCTAGGAAGACTGAGCATGAGACAGTCATAGATTCAAATCATACTCCTTAAATGTTGTCCTGCTTAAAGTACAGGCAATTTCACTCTTCTCCACCTGCAAGTAAATGATCAGTAAAACTTTCTCATGTTTATGGTGGAGATATCAGAGAAGCATAAAGCACACAATTTTTATAAAAATAAACTGGAGAAAAAGGACAGGGAAAAAAATGGTTGCTAGGTAGTGGGTGAATATTTTTATTAAACATTTGCCCATTCTTTAAAATATTTTGTAGTTATTTCATCTTTGTGAAAGGCAGAGTGATAGTGAGAGAAGAGAGAGAGAGAAAGAGGTCCTCTATTAGCTCACTTCCCAGATGCCTGCAACACTTAGGTCTAACTAGTCTGAAGCCAAAACTCTAGAATCCCTCTAGTCTTCCCTGGTTTCTCACAGGTTCCCAGGCACATGAACCATTATCTGCTTCCTTCCAGTTTACATAGGCAGAGAGCTGTACTGAAAGCAGAGTAGCCAGGGCTCAAACTGACACTGTTTTGAGATGCAGGCATCCCACACATCATAGCACAAAAGTCATTCTACCATCCTTGACAAATTCCCATAGTAAAAAGGATCATGTTTGAACATTGGGAAACCTTATGGTATATTAATGTATTAAGGAGAAAAACCATATAATGGTCACAAATAAGTACTTCATACTGATTTTGTGAAAATCTTATGCCACTTGGATAACAAGTAACTTCATTCCCTTTACATGAGAATGCCAGGAGAAACAGTTACATGTGATTCAGTGACATGATTGCTTTTTTCTCATTTCAGTGGTCATAAAAAGGGATGACCTGATTAAGATCAACCAGGAAAGTCAGGACAAAAATCTGAATCAGGATTTTATGAAAAATAACGAGACATCAGCTCTCAAGAGAGTTGAATTAAGAAAAACTCTTAGTTTAAATTCAAGCCATATTCCAACACTGATTATTCAAAAGGGAATCTATTCAGGATTGAAGCCTGAGGAATGCAATAAATGTCACACTCTGTATCCCCCCAGTGGGCCTGATCAACTACAGGCTGGAGAGAAATTTGATAACACTAAGATACCTGGAAAATCTCTCCAGTTCTGTGAGCCTCTTAGTCAGCATGACAATATTCACATGATGAAGCAGACATTTGGACCCACTGGACAAGCAAAAGTCTTCACAAGAAAGATGTTCTGTAAATCTGAGAGGGTTCATATGGCAGAAAACTGTAATAAATCAACTGTCACTTTTGGAAAAGCAACTCAAATAGAAAAAGCTATCCATGAAAATTCTAGCCTCAGTGTGCATCAACAAACTCACACAAGAAAGAAGTTTGATAAGTACATTATGTATGTTGAACCTGTCATTCACCAGTCACATCTTGCAATAAACCAGAGACTAAATACAAGGGAAAACCTTTACAAAAGTAAACCTTGTGGAAAATCCCTCAGTTTTAATTCACCTTCTGAATGTAATGACTGTGGAAAAGCCTTTGGACAAAAGTCAGTCCTCAGAAAACATCAACAAATTCACACAGGGGAGAAACCTCATGAATGTAGTGACTGTGGAAAAGCCTTTGGAAAAAAGTCAGACCTCATAAACCCTGAGCAAATTCACACAGGGGAGAAACCTCATAAATGTAATGAGTGTGGGAAAGCCTTTGGACGAAAGTCAAACCTCATCATACACCAGCGAATTCACACAGGGGAGAAACCTCATAAATGTAATGACTGTGGAAAATCCTTCGGACGAAAGTCAAACCTCAGCATACACCAGCAAATTCACACAGGGGAGAAACCTCATAAATGTAATGACTGTGGAAAATCCTTTGGACAGAAGTCATACCTCATCATACACCAGCAAATTCACACAGGGGAGAAACCTCATAAATGTAATGACTGTGGAAAAGCCTTTGGACAAAAGTCGTGCCTCATCATACACCAGAGAATTCACACAGGGGAGAAACCTCATAAATGTAATGACTGTGGAAAAGCCTTTGGAGAAATGTCAGGCCTCAGGAGACATCAGCGAATTCACACAGGGGAGAAACCTCATAAATGTAATGACTGTGGAAAAGGCTTTGGAAGAAAGTCACACCTCATGATACACCAGCGAATTCACACAAGGGAGAAACCTCATAAATGTAATGACTGTGGAAATGCCTTTGGACACAAGTCAGCCCTCCTCATACACCAGCGAATTCACACAGGGGAGAAAACTCATAAATGTAATGACTGTGGAAAAGACTTTGGATACAAGTCAGTCCTCAGGAGACATCAGCTAATTCACACAGGGGAGAAACCTCATAAATGTAGTGACTGTGGAAAAGCCTTTAGATACAAGTCACACCTCATCATACAC